TCTACTGAGGACGGGGGGGCCGTTGGCCCCCGCGTCCGGGGCCCTTGTACATACATACATGTAGACTACCGTAAAGACCACGCGGGGTTCTCCGAAATCTTGTCCAATGTGCTGCGTTATTCTGGACAGTCTCCTTTTCGTAGAAGTGCCGGATGCAGGAGATTATGTCGTACTCCACGGTGCTGTAACTCGGCTCGCCCTGGAAGCCTAGAGCTCGTGACAGGGGCGCTGTGATCGTGAGATTGGCACGCCCACGGCGGCGAAGACGACCGAAAAAATGTTCAATTCCCATTTAACAACAACGAGTCTAAAACCGAATTACCCCACCGCAACGTCTAGCTCAATGACTGAAATAATAGTGGCTGCGTGCATTCACCGTGCTGTAACTCTGCTCGCCTTTGGGGTTTCGAGCTCGCGACAGGGGCGCTGATATCTAGAGACTGTCCCGCTGCAGCGTGCAACGACCGCTGAAAAAAAGAGTCTTAGGGCGACCGCGGACTGATGCACCGGAAAAAAGAAAGTGAGAGAGCAACAACGGTTGAGCTTTTGCGTCTTGGGCTTCCGACATGATGTTAATAATTATAGTTTTTTTCTTGTCAAAAGTGGGGCCCGTTAGGGGTACGCTTTATGTTTTGTTTTTACAAAAAAAAAGCTGTTTAGAGGGATCGTGGGTGGAGTCTGTGTGCACGAGAAAAAGAATAATTTTCATGCCGAGGGGCGTGAAAATTACTCCATGCATGGCTGTCTGTCTTGTGTCCGGTGTCCGTCTGCGCGCCCTAAATACCCAGCAGACTCGAGCCCATTTCACCATCTCGGCACCAAATTGCAAACTAAAACTTGCGCACAACAAGTAACATTTTGCCCGAGCTGTCCCAACCGCTACCTTTGCAATCCGTGGTCGGTGTCTCGAGATAGCACACCGTTTGTGCAAATATATATGTCACATGGACGCATCCCCGGGAGGCGTCGTCATTTTTGTTTTTCTCTGGGCAACAAACTACACGCACGCAAGAA